TTTATATTCATTATATTGGACTATTTTCCTCGACTTCTGAAATAAGGGACTCAGTTAATATCTGTTTTTTTGCCAATATTCCAGATTGAATCGTTTGTGTCTAATCTTGCACACGAGATTTTGGTTTCTACTTGTGATATTCTGAACATATTCTTCTCTCTAGGCGCCGTAAATCTTCTGAAATTTGATGCAAGTTATCTTCCTGAATAACTACTATGTATTGCTATGAGCTCTGCAAGGGTCCATCGATAACTTCTTCTTTGAAAACAATGTGACGATCCGACAGAGCCTGATATCATGGAATTTTAGTTGATGAGACATATTAATACATGATTTATATTCATTATATTGGACTATTTTCCTCGTTCTATTCTTGTATATGTATCTAGTTCTTGTCTTCTTCATATCTATATTTTGTGCTCAACATCAGAACACACCTTTTGTCTCTCAATTTTTGAACTTCAACACCTTGTTCGCATTCTTTGATTACTTTCTCGGTTTTCAACTTTTAATTCAACACCTCTTTCGGATTGAATTTTCCATTGCTTCTCAAAGTCCCAAGTGAATGCGTTTTCTTTTCTAAGAGTGAAGATGCTAGGGCAACGGAGGTATAACAACTTTCGTCCTCTATCCAACAAATCCATAAGAACTTTAGATGGAATCGACATTTTTCAAAGTTACCTTGGAAATCATAGGCGTAGCCCCCTTTAAAACACAACTTGAACATCTTTATGCAAAACTTATGTCTCTTATTTGAAATGCAATGTATCTGACACGATTGTCTCGACTTCTGAAATAAGGGTCTCAGTTAATATATGTTTTTTTGCCAATATTCCAGATTGAATCGTTTGTGTCTAATCTTGCACACGAGATTTTGGTTTCTCATTTATTTGTGTGCATTGATTTGCATGGTGGTTCGTTTATTTAATTTGAAAAACCGTACTTGTTTTTAGAATCTTACATTGAATACAAAGAAGTTGAACTTACGATTATTTCTAATATTTCATTGTCAACCAACAATTTGTGAAATTTATAAAGTGTCTTGTTGTTATATGTATATTTTTGATAGAGATTATAATATGAATGAACTTTTATTATTAGAAATATACGCCTCATTCAGTTCACACTCGAAACAGAGAAACAGATAAATTTCTTAGACCTGGCCATTACACACAATCAGAATAAATTTGAGTTCAATGTTTTCAGAAAACCTAGCTATACAGACATCACCATCCCAAGCGGTTATTTCCATCCAGACAGTCATAAATTAGCAGCCTACAATTCAATGTTGCACAGAGCATTCTCACTGCCTTTGTCTACAGACAATCAATCTAGCTAGAGAAATTGATATAACTACACAGATATGTCATAATAATGGTTTCAAAGCAGATACTATCTAGAAGTTAGTCAGGAAACAAAGCCGGAAATTCACTTACAGATTAATATACCCTCAGGTCAAACAACCAGAAATCAAGAATTGGGTAACGCTAACATATTTTGGAAAAAGAACAGAAATAATCGCAGGTTTCTTCAGAAAAAACAATGTGGAAGTAGCATTCAGACCACATGTCAGGTTATCTCATTNGATACCTACTCAGGAACTCATGGAAGATGATTTTGATAGAAGGATTTATTTTTGTGAGCAAATGATGGACATGTTGGACAACAATTAGAAGACGTTATGTTTTCTGGTGATTGTCTCTTAACGGTCATGCTAATCGGCAAAATTGCCGCTACTGGTCAACTAATTGTAGGAAACTTGAATGGCGATAATTATTAGGCACTACTTCAAAATGATGTCATTTCAAGTTTAGTTTGTATACTGATCCAGAAAACTCTCAAGTTCCAGTGAATACGATATAGTTTCAGCAGGATGGAGTACATTACCAAGTTAATGTCCGGCAATACCTCGATACAACATTTCCCAATCGGTGGATAGGGAGGCGAGGATTGATTGAATGGCCATCGCGATCACCTGATCTTTCATCATTACATTTATTTTTATGGGGATATGTGAACAGCAATGTGTACAAAACTAAACCTTCAGATTTGAATGACCTAAAAGAACGAATAACGCTTGCGATTAGGTCGGTCACGTCTGATATGTTAAATAATGTTAGAAGACAGTTTTATTTGAGATTAGGATGTTGCCAAGATGTTCGCGGTGAACATTTCGAACATCTACTACGTTAACATCCATAGTTCTTTTTCGTATTCTACATTTCATTACGATTTGCATTACATTTTAGTTGAGTGTATTTTATCGAATTTCGGTAACCACATGATTTTAATTTATTTTATCGTACTGGTAATGCAGTAGTAATGAATATTACTGGAGTTTTTTCCCAACACAAAATCGTTGTTTTTGACACCTCGACACGTGTTTCGATCACCATGTGATCATCTTCAAGAGGAAGCTTGAACTGTTTAATCTTCCTTACTTCAGGACAATTGCTAACACATCATTTATTTGTTCGAAAAGTTTGAAAACACGCAAATTTTACTTACAGATCGCAAAAGTATATTCATCAACTATCTCCTCATTAATTTATTTGAAAGTATCCAATCAATTGATGTTATTTTAGTGTTAGAGTTATTGAAAAAAGTACATTTAAATACCAAAAAAAGGTAGAGTGCACTAAAATAGTGCAGTCGTAGAAGGATAATAGTGTACAAATCTTTCGAAAATAATTTTTAACACTCATGTGACCAAAGTATCTTGATTGTGTGAAAATTGCTGTTTCCAAAACTTGTGCAATATACTATAATCATGTTCTTCGTGAATTTCTTGTTGCGAACTCACTCGGGAATCATGTGTGAATCAAGTAAGGAAGAAGAAATAAATTACTCACACAAAAAATTCAAATTCAAATGCAATCAGGGAAATTTGCATTCATTTCTATTGATTCGTCAGTTGTGATCTAATGTGATGTCGAATAATTACAACGTTGTTAGCAGAAATAGGTTATATATTGTCATGATGATGATATCTTATTCTTTAAGCATGACAAAATCTGGGTGAGTTCTAATTCTATTTGTCACGCATACATACACATTCCGGGAATCAGCCGCACCTTTCGAGTAATGAATGGTTCAAGAACGTTACTTTTTGAAAAATTCAAATATCTTTTCTTAAAAAAAAAGTCACGTCTGTTTTCAACAGATGTTGCGATTTTTTTCTATGGATTCTAATGATTTAAAGTTTGTTCGATATATCCATGGTAGTCTCATCCGAGAATGAGATAATTACGTGTATATACTTTATTACATCATTTATATAAATAGAAAAAAGAAAGATAGTTTGCTAATGTGGAATTGGTCTTCACATGTGATCTGTGTAAATGTAAAAGCAATTTCACATTCGCAAACCATATTTAAGCAGAATGGTATGAGTTTAACCACGACTGTAAAGTATTACATTAGGAAAAATAAGATTCCAAACTCTATCTATTAGAATGCTTGGAAATTAATAGATATCAAGTCTCCTGAAAATTTACTGAATGACCAAATAAAACTGAATTTTTTCCCTCTCTTACATCTGTTTGACAATGTGGAAATTGGTAATTAGTTCATTACATTTATATGTACATTTAAACATATTTTTTAAGTATACATTTTTTTAATTAGTTTAATCCTAAACTCAAGTGACATCATTAGTTATTAGAAGGTCACATGATTGAAATAATGATTATATAAAGCACTAATTAGGTAGAATTTGGTCAGATTTCCATCAAGTATCAGCCAATTCCATTACATACAGGGTGTTGCAAATTCGATCCTCACCATTGGGTTCTCATAAACTATGTGCATTTATCTGACTAACAATATGCCGTTGAGAAAGTTCTGAAACTCCGAGTATATCCGGAAATATCCGAAAAAACAGAAAATTCAGAAATTGGTTTTTATTTTTTTCTGGCTTTATTTTTCGAAGGATTCAAAATTAAATTGTTCGTTCACATTGCCACTTTTTCCCTGCTACATAATGGTGTTTTTAGATTTGCTATCCGACGTTTCGTCTTTCAGCCACCATCATCAACTTTTTTTTTAATGGGCGCTACATTGGATTCTTTCTGTTTTGAATAGAATCAGATTTAACCTTTTCAATGATGTATCATAAGTAATCATTCTTTTTCGAAAAATTGGAGATATTGAAAAAATTGATTCTTATCATAATAGGCTTTGACTAAAATTGACTTTCAATTTGTTACACTCAATTCATTTTGTTATTGTACAAGTTATTGAATTTTTGTCAATAAATAGCTTTCAAGAATGAAGATAAAAGAGATATGATACAAATTTATTACAAATACTATAGAAATAGTGTAAGGACATCGGAAATGTATTTAAACTTGTATCCCGAAAGACGACAATCATATCAAACTATGTTCAAGTTATTGGATCAAAATCTCACCGANATGAAGCCAGAAAAAAAAATAAAAACCATTTTCCGAAATTTCTGTTTTTTCCGGATATCTCCGGATATACTCGGAATTTCAGAATTTTCTCAACGGCATATTCTCAGTCAGGTAAATGCGCGACTTTGCTCCAATTTAACCATCTTCGTATCTCTTATAGTTTTCGAGATTCCAATGGTGAGGATCGAATTTGAAACATCCTGTATATTTTATAAAACATTCAATGTTCCACTAATTAATTTCTGTATAAGTTCTAACCCAATATATTGATAATTTTTTTTAGTAAGGATATATGATAATGAAATAATTCAAAGGGCAGATTTAAGAATAAGAGATATTTCTAGGAAAAAAAACGAACTGATAAACCATCATATTCGGAATGAATAGTTAAATCAAGCAATTACTTGGAACATTGCCAACCACTTCCAAATAAACATCAAAAAAATAGTTGGAGGATGTGTAAAATATCTTCGCAAGACAGTTTTGTGAAATGTATCTCCGCATTTCAAAAATTTCTCATATTTAAAAAAACTATTATAGTTTCAACTGTTCTATCAATTTAATACAACTATTATGTCTTTGCAGGTAAAATGATCAAGAAAATATGGTTTATACTCATCCTCTGTAATCTGAATGAAGTTTACAGCATGCCAAAATGTTGCGGTGGAAAAAATATTTTTGATGGCAAATGTCAAGATGGAGGTTCAATAAATATAGCGGAGTGTGGGGCAAGGATTCTATTGGAAATGAATGATAATGTAACGACGTATAATATGGATCAAAATAACAACTTACTCGAAAATGGTACAGTGATAGCCAAACCGAAATAGTGAGTGTCACATTTAGAGACATTGTTTTATTTTCAAAAGGTCTGAGAATACTATAACACCAAGATATAATATAATATAATATAATTTGATATAGAAAATTCATCATAGTTGCAGCAGAGGTCATCTGTATCGGAATTTTATGTAAAAACTAGGTAGGTTAAACTATTCTAGGAGCTACTATACAGTTTTGATCATGATGAAACTTGTCATGTAAAGCTAAAAATGATAGAAATGGGATCGGCATAATTGCTCATCAGAAAGAATAATAATTATAGTCCCATTTTCGAAANGAATAAAAACACTTTTGTCTAAATACCACTGAAAAATTTTATTTTACGACCGGTTTCGGGTTTGATCCCATTATCAGGTATACAACTTGATTTATCCTTTTTATAGTTTTATACTTGATAATGGGATCAAACCCAAAACCGGTCGTAAAATAAAATTTTTTAGTGGTATTTAGACAAAAGTGTGTTTATTCATTTTATTTAAGTGATCATGAATTACCATAAAGTATCACATATTAGAACATATTAAGGTCCGAATATTTTGTATTCAGTGTACAGTTGTAAACAATACAATGAACTCTTGAAGGATCATTCGCGACAGGTCTAATCCATCCATTCGAATTGGAATTCGAATGTTGAGAAAAAGTTTGTTTTCGAAACTTTTGAACATGTCCCGTTTTCGTCAATTTCAACTGTGGTGATTCTTACGCTCGAGCTACAATCGGATGAAATGTCTTTCATTTCCATTGTAATTAGTTCCATATAATTTCAAATACTCGAGACTTTTAGTTTCAAAATATTGGAGGTTATATGAATAAAAAAAAATCTAAAATCTTCTTATTATTTTTCATCATGTAATGGCCTCAGCTACTAAGACCATAACGTATTGACCGTGCATTTAATTGTCAGTTGTCAGCTTCGAGTGCTGTCAACTACCTCTTCTTCTTCCATATTTTTTTCAATATTGTATTTGTACAAAATTCCGCTACTTCATGTTCAAATCCTCTACCGTCGAATAAATTACGCTACAGTTTCCAACACTGCTCGTTTCTTCTGTCGCACTCTTGACTTGTTTTTGTCGGAATATCCTATACGAGGGGTGCGCGATAAAGTCACAAATGGAGGCAAGCACAGTAATATCGCACTCTTAATATGAAATATGAATATACAGTGTGTGAAAGCCAAATGGAATAAATTCATTATTTTGGTTACGGTACATATTTTAACAAAATCCCGAAACACGTCCAATTTGAATTATAATTTGACATACTTCAATTGAAAAATGCTATTCCTACCTTCAACCCCCCGTCGAATGACAAGGTACAACACTCAATTTTTTAAATGGGAAGGAAGTATATATCTTTATTCTCTATTCAAAAATGTTATCGCTTTCAAGTTCATTACAACAATTAAGATAAATTAAAAGCACGTTGTTACCGAAATTCGATAAAATACACTCAAAACTTATTGCAACATACTCAAAACTTATTTCATGTTGAGGTATTGATAATGAGAAAGTAAGCAAAAACCATAGCAATGTTCTTTTTAGGTGGTATCCTTCAAAAAACTGAAAATGATTTCCGTGGCAACGTTACAACATTAGTTGTCAGTTTTAAGTTCGTTAAATTCAAGTCTGATAAATGGTTAATATACCGGAAATACATAAAATAGTTTTACAAATGATTGAAATATTTCATGAGAAATTTCATAACTTACCGCCCACATTTCAAGGAACAATAAGCAAAATAGAGAAGCAGTTTCGCGAGCTTGGTCATGTGAGGCAGATAAAAAAAGCAGCTGCCAATGCAATGAGTGATGAACTCAAATTAGATGTGATACTTGGGTTTGAGGAAAACCCACATACATCGAGTAGACAGACATCCACTACATTCAATGTTAGCAATACATCGATAGTAAACATATTGAGAGAAAATAAAATGCATCCCTATAAAATGATACCTACTCAGGAACTCATGGAAGATGATTTTGATAGAAGGATTTATTTTTGTGAGCAAATGATGGACATGTTGGACAACAATTAGAAGACGTTATGTTTTCTGATGAGTGTACTTTGTTTCTTAACGGTCATGCTAATC